TACAGTGTGTGATTATACTGTCAATTCATGTCATGAATCACAAATTCCACCTTGGGGCACAATGGTCTACATACTCTCGTCCAAATGAAAGGTCTTGCAATCCATTAAAGCAAGTCACTATGTTAAAGTAATCTGTTGTGTCTGGTTTCCGGAGGCAGCGTCTTTACCAAAGCCCTGATTTACTAATACAGGTCACAGCAACCAGTCTAGACTAAGTGGTTTCTATGGGCTATGTGGGTCATTTCATATTATTTGAGGTCCACTTTTTTAACTGTCCCAGTTACATGTATGATGTTATAATTCTGATGCACTCATTTATGCAGTCAGCCTCCAAGAGTGATTACGAATAGCAAACTACCTACCCAACAAATAAAAAATAGATTGAGGTCATTCTTAATGATACTAGAAGGGCAACAGAGACAGGAAAAATGCCACACTTTGGACCCTAAGTTTATAGAATGACCCACGCACAAATTATGTTTTGCGTGTATGTATCAGTTGTAGACAATGGCATACATATTTCTTTTCTTTCTTTCATTTTCTCTCTTTTTTTTTTAATAACGGAATTTACTCTTTTGGTTTAAAGGTATAGTCCATCACTTGTAATTTGTGCATTTGGTTCGTTTGAAGCAACAATAGTGCTCAAGATCTAAAGAAGGGTACTGAACAACTAACCTGATGAAGTTTCAGCTCAGCTTCAGCTTTATGTTCCGAGAAAAACAGCATTCTAGGATCTCGATTTCAAATCAAAAGTTGCTGAATCATGTTTTGGATTGGGCCTGAATTCAGCGTCCGAGACACGTTCTCACTGAGCCGATTGCAGCTACGCGATGTCGCGCACTGATCCGAGGAATTATAGCAACCGTGTACGCGTGTGCGTCGTGCCAATGCCTGCGCACGCTTCGCCCAAAAACAGAACGAACTACTAATTTAAATTTCCAACAGTGCGTCTTAAGAAGCACCGTTGGGAAGGCCTTCTTTCGTCGATTTCTTTAAAATGACAGCTTGCCAGAAAGATTAATTTCAGAGGGAGTTTAGTCCCCTTACTATCTTTCAACCAAGTATGTTTTTCAACAATAATGACGCCAATTACTTTTTGGATAGCTGCAAAAGATGGACTCTGGCTTTAACTACTGGAAAGTTTTTTTTTCTTCAATGTACTACATGTATACGTACAATGAATGTTAGCCAATGTAAAAAGCAAAGTTTTATAAGACACAACTCTAATTAGGAGCACTAAGAAATTTTTAAAAATGAATACATGGGCACAAATATGGTGTGTATGTGTTTTGACCGTATTGTGAATTGGTGTCCTTGTGCATGAAGCTTGCCATAAGATCCTCTCTGATTTTTCTTAATGAAGAACAAGTTAGGAACATGAGGTTCATTTTAAATAATTCGGGCCAGCATGGGTGGGGCAGTGGTCCAAAGCCCACAATGACCAAGAAAAAAATGAAAAAAGACAAAAAAAAGACAAGAAAACGCAGGCCTGAAGCCAATATGTGTTCTGTGAAATTAACACAAAGTTTGGACGATGGACCTGCCAGAAAAGGGCCTAAAATGTGTACATGTGCATTAATTTGTGAACATGTACAAACATGTGCACGAGTCATCGACACCACCCCTAGTATCAAATGATATGCCCCGCCCCCTCCCTAAACAACAACAACACCCCCCCCCTTGACATTTCCCCCACATGTAACAAATTTCACCTTTTTACCCCCAGGCAGTAAACCTCCTTCTATGAAATATCACTCACTACATTACTGGTGTACGGACCCCATTAACGTGCCTTTACTTTTCTTTTTTGATAGCAGCCTGGCGCCCCCGCAGTTTGGGGATCGAGCGGTTAAATGCACAGTTGCTGAAAGAAACATCTCGTGAGCATTTTCTTTTTATTCACTCAAGTCCGTCCTAAAAAGCAGGTTCAGACGCAGACAACAGAACTCTTCAGTATCAAGTTACATAGCAGCTATCAGGTTACGGGCTTGAAAAAAAAAAATCCACAGTCAGTGGTACCGATTTCATGAATTTCAACCGGAACTCAACCATGAACATGTGATGTGAGCATCTGACGTAAATTTTTTAAAAAATACGTTGTCTTCAATGGTAGGATTGTGAATCGTGCAATTGTGGAGTTCCATCATGTGCTTGGCCATTCATGACAAAACAACTTGTGTCAATCGATCTAATGGTTCGCTGAGTGGTTTCAAGTCCCACTTTTCCTCTAAAAACAAGAAAAAATGTCATGTTTTGCTCTGAACATGACAACTAAACACTTGCAAGTAAAAAAGGTCACCTGTTTGAATTGGATCCATTAGAGACTGAACAGTTCACATTAAATAACAAAAGCAATTGATGTATGCACTTTCAGACGATATGAGGTTTGGACTGTTTCGCTATTAAAAAGCATCATCCATCACTGCGGATGTCGCTCTGGAAAGTTCCGCTCTCCTTCAGGAAAAGGAGGTGAATTTAAAAACAAGGGAAACATACAAATGGACTCCGGGCAATCGACTTACGAGTAGGAAAACATTCGTAAACTGCGTCCAACTTCAAATGGCCGCCTTTCCATTGCCAAAGTAAACAGCACAGTTTATCAGACTGATTTTTCCAAAAAGCACTGCAAATCAAACATTCTGCTTTCACAATACCAGCTTAAAGGGAATATACATCATTTGCTTTTGCTGTAATTTTCAGAAATGGATGGAATTGGGGGGTTGGAAATATATAGCAAATATAGTTACACTGACTTTTTTGAGGTTTTGGGTTCAAAAATGCTATAAAAACCAAGAAAAACAATCAATTTCCTGTAGTCTGGTTCCCTGACTCCATTTAAGAAGAAACAGAGCAGTTTACATACATTGGGGAATTGTACGGTCAGGGAACCAGTCTAGCTGGCTTGTACCCGTTCATAGGTGTGTAATCGATTGCAAACAAGTGCGATGGTCAACTGGGGCCAGTAGGCCTATTTGAAAAAAAGCCAGTTTTTCCAACGCTGATCGGCCGATCAGCGTTGGAAATTGATACAAAAATACCACTTTTCTTGAAAATGACAGTATACCAGGTGCCATGATTTTACAGGATGCTTTACACTGTCATTCACTAACAGTCCAGCAAGGTATTTCAAAATGATTTGGTAGTTTTATTTTTTGATGTTTGCAAATGTTGTATTTTCCCTTTAACATTTTTTTTTTCATATATGAGCAAAAGCTTGGCGCCACCAGAGTGAAAAGGAGACTCGTATTTTTTTGCGGGACAAGAAATTGACATAGGCAAGGACGCCTTCTGATTATTTGTTAAGTCGATTGAACACACACTAAGGGGCACCCGTACGACTAAGGATAATTAGTTGAAAGGTTTGGTTGGGGTTGGGGCTGGGTGCTATTTTTTTTGCCCATTGCTGTTCCGGCAGGATCGAGAGAGGGCGCCGTCCTTGTGCCATGCATATTCATAGATGTCCTGGGCTTTTGGATTAGTTACATAATAAGGAATAAACGGAAGACAGGGGCGGATCCAGGAATATTTGCAGGGGGGGGGGTGTATCATCAGCAAAAAATTCTGAAATGTAGACCCTTTTTTTGCGGACACTTGGCCTCCGAAAATCAATAGGTAGGGGGGGGGAGGGGGGTTCAGAGCAGGGGGGGGGGGGCTCGCATTATTTTAATGAATTTATATGAACCCCCCCCCCCTAATCCATGCCTGGAAGAGATTTAAAGAGAATTAGTTACATGTATGTAAGAAATAGATCATTTACATCACTGACGACGGGCAGCAGATTCAGGGACTGGTTGGTAGTAAGGGCCAGTCTCGATTCATATCAGTTCCGGACAAGTTGCAGACATTGTATCGGGTATAAGTTGCACAGGATTCCGAACAACTTCCCCGCAATCTTCCCGCAATGAAGTTATCAGTATTGTTGAGTCAAGCAGTTGCTACATCCCAGTAATCATGCTCCAGATTTTTGTTTTGTTTTTGGAAACCTTGAGGTACATGTTTTTGCAAATTTGTTGCCATTTTATGAAAGAACATAGACCTTCAGGAGTGATTTGAAGCTGAGATAGCTAAGGACGGGGAAATGTCAATATCATTGGACCTCTAACATTGCTACATGAAATGCATTTTATTGATTGCGAATACATTGTATGGTAGCAGCCCACGCAAGGCTGATGGAAATGAGATTCATCTTTTGTGCAATGTCCCTTGAAGGTGATCGAGTATGATTTTTAAGATGGAATTGGCTTGAAAACAGGAAGGACAGAGTAGGAGCAAGCTTCACTGATGTAAAAAGTATGGAAATTGGAGTTTCTCTTAAGTTATACAGTACATCACCACTTGGGAAAAAAATCCATATGTTATTGTGATTTGACTGGTGATTGACTTGCGATGGATGTGTTTAAGTGTCAGACTCGCACCACAATTGACTTGTGATGAACTTCTGATTGCTAGTGTCAGGCTTGTGATGGACTTGTGATGGACTTGTGATCAACTAGTGTCAGGCTTGTGATGGACTTGTGATCAACTAGTGTCAGGCTTGTGACTGACTTGTGATTGACTTGTAAATGACTTGTGATTGGCAGGATTAACCAGTTCGCATGGGAGGACGTGATAACACACACTGGCTCTTTTTATACACAGACATGGCTGACGGGTAAAGATGTCAAGATTGACTCGACTCGCTGTCTAAACACGCTAATCCCTTGTGCCTTTTGTACACACACACAAAGTCTGTGAAATCTGTGGAGGCAGACCGTGGGTTGGTCTTGAATTTGTCATTGTGCACAGCCTATTGTTGTACAATTTAATCTTACAGTATTGAAACATAAGAGGTTTCGGCAAGAAATATCGTACAAATACTGTTGTAATTACTCTTGCCAATCAGTATTTGTGGCGTTTTGCTGTACATCAGAAGTTGGCTGGAAAATTTTGCCTTTTGCGAAAATCGAAATGTTCGGCAAAAATAATCACGGCGTGAAGTGGTTAAAGAGCTGCCTACTTACGATATGGCTTCTATCATGTCCAGTCCCATCTCCACACAACAGTGGGCGTGGTCCGGGCGGGGGTCTGGCAGGCCTGAGACACAGTAGTAACAGTCCCCCAGAATCTTGATCCGCAAGCAGTGGTTCTCCTACACAAAGAAAAACAGAAATCAAATAGTATACAAATATTGACTGCTTCAAGTGGTGTGGTAAGTCTAGCTTCCCGAGGTGATCCATTGGGCATTATGCTTTCTGGAGGTGTAACCGAGAGAAAACATGGATCACAGAGGGAGGCTAGTGTTACTACACCACAAGTTAAAACAGCCAATATTTGTTTCATAACACCTCACCCACAGATTCAACTTGATTTTAAGAGATAACCGATTATTAAATTTAACCAAAATTTACCCATCAAAATGTACTTCCATTTTAATATGAAATGAATTGCAAATTTACTAGCACTTTTCCAAAGTACCCCTCCAGGAAATGTTTGAACCAAAGTCTGTAGCAGGTGGGAACAATACCGATGCACCGGTATGTGCACACAGACCTCTGGTTGCTACGTTGGTTTCTAAACGTACAGAACTTTTTAAACCGAGGCAGCCGTTGTATCGTCTTTTTGGATGTGCACATCAAGGTAGTAAAAACATCATTCTAAGCCAATCAAGATACATAATCAGTGAGTGAGATGTTTAATAATTATTTGCTCGTATGTTCTAGTTTGGAGGCACATTTTTAACTCCTTGAGTAAAGAATTAATTGTCTCCAATATACCACTTGTAAAGGGAATAAATATGCGTTTGGCCGGTTTCAAACAAGTACGTTAAAAACCAGCTTGGGGCCTGGACGCGGATGATGGCCCGAACCGAGGGTTATTATCGGCGGTGACTGCTCTATGTTCTGACACCCCTATGTTCCGACAACCTAGATTGTGTTACTCCCGGTTAGGGTTAGGGTTAGGAATAGGAATATGTGCAGTCGGAACATAGGGGTGTCGGAACATAGAGGTGTAACCATTATCGGCGACCAGGCCCCAACCCAAGCCCCAAGCACATATTTGTTCCCATTCATTATACCTTTCGGTCAAAAAGTCAAAACAAGTAAAAAAATATATATATATAAATTTCCAACAATTTTGTCGACAATTTTACTTCATGTTTTGCAAAACACCCCTCTAGCTACATGTGTATGGCTCGTGCCTCTCATAAGCAATACTAAAAATTTCCTTAAGCCCCTGTCACACCTTTGCGTATCGTAATTCCTTATGAGTTCCTTATCAAAAATTTTCAATACGCAGCCGTACGCTCAATTAACGTCGAAATGTTTTGATCACTTTGACTTATGTGCGACGCACATCTAGCGTACAAGTAACGAATTCAGCGCATCCATTGTGTATGAGATGCGTATGAGTTGCGTATGCAGTGCACAACATTATTTTTTGGGCTGCGAATAGGTCAGTATGCAGTGCGCATGCCGAGCGTATTCCAGACGCACCCGACTTATGCCGACTGCATGCTTGACGCACTTCTGAGCGTATTCCCGCCGCATTTCCGCCGCTCGCCGTTCAGCGTGCGTTGCATCTGCGCTGCAAGTACACTATGTATACGTCCAATACAGGCGGCTCATATGCTGACGGGGTGCGTCACGAACACATAGCGTACTCGTAACGCACTCGACCGATGCGGGACCGATGCGCTGCGTATTTATAACTTATGACCTGCGTAACAGCGTACGCAGCATAGTTTTGTGCATGCCCAAAACTATCCTGCGTACTGGGCCGTACCATGCGTATATCTGCGTACATAAAACCTACACAAAACGATAGAGATGCATATGAGGTGCGTATTGTGCGTACGACTGCGTATGAAACAAATGTCAATGCGCAACTCATAAGGAATTAGGATACGCAGAAGTGTGACAGGGCCCTTATATGTAAATTGGCACGCACGTGGCGCGTACTGCGTGATGTGGAGCAGAATGCAGTGGTGCTGGAATGAAGTGTTTAAAACAAGTTGGTGTTTTAGCAACCATTTAAAACCACCCTTGTGATGGGCTCTCGACCAATAGGAATGGGTAAACTGTCTTAGGTATTTATGAATAATATTATTAGACATAATAGACAGCTTTCATTTTGGAGGCATACTCCTTGAGTACAGAATTAATTGTCTCCACTACACCACCTGTGCTACATTGTACTACATTGTATTACATTGTATTTATTCCCAGACAAATCCATACATCATACAACACTGGGGCAGCTTCCATGGTACAGGGAGTAACAGGCAGGGTGGTTTGGAGTGGTACGGGGACTAATGGGTTTAATCAGGTGCAATAGGGACAATGCACCGGACGTTCGGGCTGAGCTAACGCCTCGTATCTCCAGCAGTCACAATTTTTAATTGATTCATCAATTTGCTGCGTGGCAGAGAGTCGAATGGTTAATGTTTACAAGATGTTTGCTCTAATAAACTAGGACAATAAAGTAACGCCGTAATATATAGCAGTATTGCAATGGAATTACAATACTGCTATATATTTTTTAATACAGCACAATATTTGAGGCTATGCATGGTGGAGTATCGGTATCGTTTCGGTTTGCGGTAACACCATGTGGTAATAAGTACTGCTTAGAAGATATTCAGTTCTGAAAAGAACTTGTCCTGCTTATTATCAACTTTCGCCAAGTAGTTTTTGTTCTGATAAGAACAGTCTCCTGACGATGACTAGAGCAGGCTAGTTGAAACGTTGAGACCAAAGACAAGTTCTTTTAGAACTGAAAGCAGGACTGTTCTTATCAGAACAAAAACTACTTAGCAAAAGTTGATAATAAGCAGGACAAGTTCTTTTCAGAACTAAATATCTTCTAAGCAGTAGTTATTACCACATGGTGTTACCGCAAACCGAAACGACACAAAAAAATTAATTTTTAAAAACTTCCAAATATCCAAATCCCACAAATGAAACATACATGCACACATCATTTTGAAGCTTATTGGCTGTATTTTATTGAGATATTGGTGATTTCTAACAATGTTCAACAGTTCAGGTATTACTTTCAACTGCAAAATAAATAAACTTGTAAACACACAGAAATCAATTTGTGAGTACATGGTGTTTCAAGTCGATTTCTACTATAGCAAAAAAGTTGGTTGAATAATTTCTGCTTTAAATCATTGTAGTACCTAACTGATACGTTTTATCAACATTTTAAATCTAATTTATGATTACAAATTTTATTATGCACTAATGAATTGTCCAAAATGTACGTCCGATACAGTGGAACTGCCCAAATGTGGATTAAGCTGACTTCCAAAACAAAATATTAACCTTATTAACTCTCGCAATGTATTCCATTTGATGTACTCCTACGATAAATTTTTAAATTGTTGGTATTCGATTTTGGATTTAGCTATGGGTTCCTGCAGATTAACGCAATTTATTTCACTCTTCATGTGTCCACATCGCAATTTCATAGACTCCAGCTGGTCTCACCACCAATGGATATTGAAATTTATTCCATTCTCGGTACAGTCCGTGAATACAAAACAAGCAACAACCAGTGCGGAGGGGGAAATAGTCCTTCACAGGGCCAGATTTCCAATTACCGATGCAATATCGCCAACTGTGGCACTGACGTGTGAAAGTACCGCACCGGCCTGGAGAGATACTGGTAGAGAGAGATAATAAAAGTCACAACCATTTTCTCGCACTCACTCAGCATGTGAGTGTAGCCGCAGCTTCACAAGTGTTTTTCTTCTCTGCACTGTGAATTAATTAAGCCGGCAACAAGCCAAGGGAATTTTAAAAAAAAATTTATTGACTTTTCCAGGTTGGCCCCTATATTTTCTTTGTTCTTTTTACAATAAAGATTCAACAAAGAAATTGACTAGGTCAAGATTGAATCTGCAAGATCTGGAGTGCAGTACTGGCATTCTACCAACTGAGCTAGCCAGCAACAAGCTCTTTTTGCCTTCAAAGATTTTTTTCCAATTATTAATTTATTTTTTATTTTTTATTAATATTTCGGTACATTTTCTCTTTGATTCTTTTTCCAAAATTAGGTTCAACAAAGGAATTGACAGAAACAGGGTTTGAACCTACAACATCCGGAGTACCATACTGGCATTTTACAAACTGAGCTAGCCAGCAACAAGCTCCTTTTGCCTTCAAAGACTTTTCGAACTATTAGTTTCTTTCAGGTTTTTTTTTTTTATTGATTATTCCAGGTTCGTGTCTGTCCCTTTCTTTTGCCAACATTAACCCTAACTCCCTACTTACTTTTACTAAGTAGAGGACTAAATCCGTCAAAATCTATCACTCATCCTGCTTCACATAATGCTTCAGGACCAAATCCATTAAAATCCACCATTGGTGCTGGTGGATTTTGATTGACTTGGTATACATGGCTTAACATCTGCCAAACTCCCCCAAACTGGGGGGGGGGATTTTAATGGAGTTGATAAGGTTAGGGATAAGGTTGAGCAAAGAAATTGACTGGATTTGAAACTCGGAAAAACAGGATTTATACTGTGAAATCAGGAGTGCTATACTTGACCAACTGTGCTATCAAGCCCTTTGTTGGCCTCCTGGTCAATATCTTTATAGCTCATGCAGTACTAGTCAAAGCCTTTGATGTTTTTGTTTAAACTTGTCACAAAACACACACAGAAATCCAAGACTGGTACCTCCAATTTCTGTGACTCTGGTTCGAATCCACATGTGTATTTGTTTTTTTTCAGTCCCTGCCTGATTATGTGGGCTTTCCGCAGAAATCTGTCATTTTTTATTTGTAGTTTTCCTCCCACCTCTAAAATTACACCCTTCTCCATTGCCTCCTCGCCACATGTTTCTTCGGGATATTGCATTCATTTTGCCTTTCGAAGCTTCTGAGGAATCCTGTTTCATTACCCGATGAAATTACACAAATGAAAAGAAAACAGTTGGTACAGTCGCAGCTACGTAGACAAACCTCGGCTTTGGGAACTAATTGAATGAAAAGGGCAGTTTGTGTGCGTCAATGCTCAGCGACCCAGTTCACTCCAACGCCTGTCATTTCATTACACCGTGGGCATCCTTAATTTTGAAAAGAGCCTGTTCTTCGTGGGCAGCGACGTCTTCAGCAAATCCGCGAGGGTCGGTGAAAGGGATC